CTGCATGGCTCAAAATAGGTCTGTATGGAAAAAGGACTGAATGGACTCGACGAGTCGTAAGGTTGACTCGGCGAGTCACATGAAGATGGCCGTGAACTCGACGAGTTGGAGGAACAACTCGGCGAGTCCGATGATGATTGCCATAGACTCGACGAGTTGAAGAACAACTCGGCGAGTCGGATGAGTTTTCTCCTGGATATGTATGCGTGTGTATCCGTCGAGTTGCAAGGAGGAAACTCGACGGGTGGCCTTAAAGTTTGATCGAGAATCGAAGGAACTCGACGAGTCACCCCGATGACTCGGCGAGTTGGAATGTGCTTCAAGGAACTCAGCGAGTAGCCGAGGGTACTCGGCGAGTCGAGGTCAACATGGACTGTTGACCTTGACTGAGGACTTTGGCTTTGATCAGGGGTTGACTATTGGGTTATGGAGTACCTTATAAGGTTAAGGACTTACGAGTATATTGTGCTATGATAATAGGTGGTGGAGCCTGTGTCAAGTGATCCGAGAGTTGGAGTTTACCTTCCGAGTCGACATCTGCGAGGTGAGTTATCCTCACTATATCGATAGGGTCTACGGCACCAAGGTCGGCCCTTTAGTTGTTATTGTTATGGTATGCTACATGTGGTTATGATCTGTTAGATCGGAATCAGGGTAGACAGTATGTTATGCTCTTATGATCCGTAGGGATTGGTATGTTAGTGACCTGCTAGGTCGGTACTCTAGTTACAGGAGAATTCTATGATTGATGATCAGTGAGATAGATATGTTCGATGTTTGTATATGCCAGTATATGATAGTTATGCGCACATGGTTATTTGCTTGTTGGTTGGGTTGAGGCGGTCCTGCTTTGTGCTGAAGGCCAACATACCCTATGAGCGGTCCGGGGAGACTGTAGGCCCACGTGGCGGACCAGTCATGCCGAAGGCTCGGGATAGATCCAGACAGACTGTAGGCCCGGCAGGGCGGTCCAGTCAGGGCGATGCCCCAGTATGCATGTTGATTGATTGATTATTACTGATATGGTATTGTCAGTGTGGTATTGGTATTTTGGGGGTAGCTCACTAAGCCCTCGGGCTTACAGTTTTCAGTTTATTGTTTCAGGTACTTCAGGAGATCATGGCAAGGCGAAGGCGTGACCGTACCGCTCCTCATCCTTATGTTATGATTTTGGGACACTCTGATGGATATTGATCTGAAAACATTTTTGTAAACAAACGCTGTTTGATTTTATTTATGATTGAAAAAGTTTAAATTTGTCGTAAAATTTATGGATGTTACATGTGTCCTATTCATTTTTTTGATATTCATATTTGTACTTAACATTCATCCATATCTTTATTTAAGCGAAAAAATTATTTGGAGAATTAAGTCATTTTTTGGATCAAATATCCTTTTTAAGAGTCCTAACTTGGTATATATAAGGAAAATATAATGTGGTTGGGACTATAGGGGGGTTGATCATGAAAGGGGAATAATATACTCCTTGAGTTTTGCCTCACATTGTGAAATTTTTTTATAAAAAATGAGATTGCATTAAACTCATAAAATTAGATAAAATATGAACACAGGTAACATAAGGAACCTGATGGTATTGGAACTATTTTGGCCAACTTCAAAGAGGTTCCGAATTATAAATTTTGCAACTGGTTCCAACATTTTTTAAATTGTCACATCCGGTTTCGTGACCGATTCCAAGTAATTTATGTGAATATGTTCCATTCCTTGCTCCAAATTAACACCCTCTCATTTTTGGCATTTTTATTAACTTATTCGATAAAAAAAAATTACGGCTCAATGATCGATTGATCGTCTTTTGCCAATTTATATACCTTTATATGACTACTGACCATCAAGATCTTTTTTATATAAAAACAAATTATTATATAAAGAATCAAGGATGGAAATCCATTTCTACCTAAATATAAGAAAATGACTTAACCAAACAAAATCTTTCTTATACCTAATCCCAATACCCAAAATGAAAAACCTTAAACCTAAAACTCTAAACCTAAAATTTGTATCATGATATCCAAAACCGTAAACCCTAAATAAACTTACTCACCCAAATTAACTATTTGCTTGTGCATTGTGTGTTCATTTTAATATTTCATGTTCTTGAAAAAATTATTCATCAAAAGGTTACAACTATGCAAAGAAAATTGTTCACCAAAAGGTTACATAAATGGTCCCTGTGGTTTTTCAGATTCTTGGTTTTCGTTCCAAACTTTTCTTTTTCTTACATATATGGTCCAAAGCAAATTAGATTTCAATGTTAAGGGTTTATCTTTTCATTACCTTCATGTTAAAGCCAAAGCTGGGTACCCAATCATACATGTTTCCGAATAGAAATAATTGTTGAAAGAAACTATTTACACCCGTCGCTTAGCACGTGTAAACGGCTAGTGTGTGTGTGTGTGTGTATATATATATATATATATATATATATTGGATTTTTTTTTTCAAATATTTTAAGGAGCAATAGGATATATTATAATTATAAAGTATATTTTATTTATATAATTAGAAATTGTCCTCTTTCCGTTTTGTGGAGGACGTAGACGATGTTTTGCTTACTATGTTCTACCCATACAAAAAGAAAGTACTATAATTCATCATTTTATCGTTTTGTTGGCACGGTTTCCGAAGGACCAAAGTTGCCAACATATGAAAGTCTAGGGAACAAACCTACAAACATCACCATATACAAATGTTGAAGGAGTGGAAATTGTCGTTGTTCAAATTTGAGGGGTACAAATAACATTTTATAAAGTAAATGATAGAAAGTGTCATTTTATAAAGTAAAGGAGTAGAAAGTATCATTCTACAAAATAAAGGGGAGGAAATTGTCAATATAAAAATGTCTAAGGACCAAATCTACCAATATAAAAAAATTTGTGACCGAAATATAAAATAAAAAAGTATATTTGTGATTAAATTATGAAAACACAAAACAATACTATTCTTTTTATTATGTATAATAAATTTTAAAATTGCAAATAAATTATTTTTTCCAAAAATAAATAAAAGTATATTTTATTATAAATATATTTTAATATTTAATCATATCTAATTCTTTATATATTGGAAACAACTTTTTTTTTATCATAGAAATATACTTTAAGATTTCGTTCCTATCTAATTCTTAAGTAGTTAAAATACATATACCATATATATTAGCCGAATAAAATATGTTTAAATTTAATTTACTTAATGATATATCTTTATTCGGTAAATTATATGAATGGCCCTTGTAGTTTGGGATAATTTGCACATTTGGTTCCTAACTTATTTGTTTAACTCAGGACGGTCCCTAATATACGTTTTTTTTGCGTCTGTAGTCCCGTAGTCCCTCACACATAAAAAGACTATTATATTGCCCTTACCTTTTTCTTTTTCTTTTAATAAAATTGTTATTTATATATATATATATATATATATATATATATATATATTTTTTTTTTTTCTTTTTGAATTTAGTGTTATATATTTATGAAATCTCTTCCGGTCTTTCATCCATTTATTTATCTATTGCTCGAAGTTTAGTTCCACCTCCGTCTGTGCCACCAAAGTAAATCATCACCATCTTTGCCACCACATAAATCACCTCATCGAACCCACTCAAACCATATGCATTAAAAAAATCAAATAAAAAAATACTAACCGGAAATCAAACAACAAATCCAGATCAGAACACAGAGAATGTTTATGTTTGTTAGTTTGGATGCAACGATGATTGTGTCGATGACAGATACAAAGGAGGTGTACATCGGCGTTTATTGTGCAGATTGTTGGAGATGATGCAGATTGGCGATTGATGGTGCATACCGAGGGATCATATGGTCGATGGTGTAGTTCTATGACTTTCGAGTCCATATTGATGACTTTCGAAGGTTCCTGGAGGCTTTAGAAAAAAGATCGGCAACGTACGTAGGTATATGAAGTGTTTAGAGTTCAGATCAACAACCTATGGATGTTTATGGCGACAACCTATGGATGTTTATGGCGACATCTGGTTGTTTCTACATTTGTGGTCCGACGATGACCGACCGTTTTTAGTGGATTTAGAGTACAAATTGATGGCGACCTGAGGTTTTAGGCAACGTACTGTTATTTCTTATTTCTGGCGTCTAGGGTCCATTCGTCTGGCGTCGTCCGGTGGTTTCCGGCGACTTTGGTCCGGTGGTCCACAGATTCCACTGAGGTTGTTCTTCCTTTGGTTTAAAGAAGAAATATGGAGAGAGAATAGGAATGTCATACTACTTTTTAAAAGTGGGTTTTTGTGGGGATGATGATTCAGAGAACGAGATTAGAGAGGGAGAGAGGTAATGAAGGTTGCAGGTGAAGTAAACGAGTAGGTGTGAATGTTACGAGGGTGAGAAAAAGCTGTTAATTATTAGCTTTATGTTACTTTTTATTTTTACATTTAATTAAAATACAATAATAAACAAAAATCTTAAAAAAGTTTAAAAAATTATAAGGGCATAACAATCATTTAAAATCGATTAGGAACCAACCACGAAACAAAAATACATTATAAGAACGGTCCGAGTTAAAAAAATAAGTTAGGGACCAAACATGCAGAATAGCTCAAACCAACCAAACATGATAAATTAATAATCAATTCTCATTCAATTTCCTTGTTCATTCCATTCCGTTGTTCATTCCAATTTTTGTGATTCCATTCAACTAAACAAAGCAAACTCTAAAAGTCAACCAACAATTTGCCATCTCTAAAACATAAACTCATGTTTGACGATTCAGACTTTGCAAATTTAGGTAACCTAAACGGGACATCATGATCATGAAAACTTCACAATGTATAAAAAATTCAATTAAATTGATAACTATTTTTATTTTCAACTCCAACACCAAATAACAATGAAGTAATAGCAACATTCAAGTCAACTTCGAAACATATTTATATCAAATCAATAATTGTGTGTAAAGAGTAAAAACATACACATTTTGATGAAGGTATTTAATCTCTAAAAAAATAAAAGCATATAAAGTCAAAGATTTTATATTTAAATTTATCATAAGGTTTTCATAGGCCTAGATAGTGTTATTCTCCATGTTAATGCACAATTTCACATCTGTAACATGTAATAAAACTATTTCATGCGAAATTTAAACGAACAGATGTTACAATTTTATGCAGTAAATGGCTGTGATCAAAGCAACTAAACAACTCTCTTCTGCATTCAACCAGATATGCTCAATAGCCCCTGCATTTCAAAAACAAAACCAAAACATAACCTCAAGGCCTTTAAAGTTGCCAAAAAAGTGACACATAAATTCGAGTAGCTTGATCAAATTTCAAACAGACTAACTAATGCACAACAAAGAACAGAGATCAACAGGTTAAGATGTCTTTAAATATCATGCTCTCAAGTTTCATCCTGATATTCATGAAATGGTTGGCACTGAGTTCGACAGAACGGGGAGTTTGAATACTTTCATGTAAGCGAGTTCAATCGGTTTCCTCCATTGAAAAGGAAAAGTAAATTGAAGAAATCAAGAGATGTAAACATGTAAATTAACAATCTTGCAGCAATATATATACCAAAATCAGAATCTCCAGGACCCTCTATGTTCACAAGCAACATATATTTGACGAAAGTGCAATCAGCTAAATACCTAAAACACGTAATGCATAAACTTAAAACAATTAGAACCGCATCATCGTACCTGACTTTTCTAACGAGAATCGACTTGAGCTTACGAGCCAGGTCTTGCGATTTAAGCCTACGCTGTAGATTCTTTCGAGCCAAAATTCGTTTCTCTGAGTTCTTGATGTGATATAACTGTTCGTTTTTAATCATCCGTTCGATGCCACTCGATTGCATTATCCTCTGCATATAAGTCAGTCCTCTCTCCAAATTGTTGTTCAGAATCTTCACTCGGATCCCCCGCCATTGCTGTAAATATGAGATCTGATTGTTTAATGCGACATTTGGGCGTGTGAAGACGGACGAGAAGCTCCTGGACACTGAGTTCATCTTTAGGGTTTGGGTTTTGGGAAATTTTGCAGTACGACAAAATTAGAAAAATTGAAGTGGCCTTCAATATAACAATTTCGTCAATTCGTTACTAAAAGGACCGAAGGGTGTTAGTTTTAAATTTAGCATCGAAGATAATAAGTAAAAGGTTATATACTTTTTTGATTTGTATATACGTTATTTTTCTTTTATAGTTATTTACTAGGTTAAAACTCGTGGAACTCACGGTATTAATTTTAAATATAATTAAAAAAATTGATTATGTAATAAAATAATATATCATTAATTTAGAAAAGCTTATGAATTATAATATTATATTTTTTTAATAACTTTGTACTATGTAAGTATTTAATTACACGTGTAAATCCTCCTATTTTATAAAAGTCATGAGTTTGTATTATGCAACATATTATCAGTTTTGAAGTTTTATTCTTATTAAATACATGAAAGTTGTGACGCACTTACAAGACAAACGCGTAGGTTGTAAAAAAAATATTTATTCTTATTAAACCTTTATTTTTAGTACATGATTCTTGGGAAGAAAAACAATATTTATAATTCGAAATCGTAAGGATTAATTAAATATTTGCAAAAAAAATATTAATTTACAATGATAGAAGTATTATGAGTAACTTTATAATTTTGTTTTAAAATAAATATATACACCTTTATGGAAAAAAATAGGTTTTAATAATATATTTTCAATCATTTTTTTGTATATAATAAGAGATTTATGTTGTAATTTTATGATCATACAAATTAATCATCTTGGTAAGTCATAATTCATTAAATTGAAATAATCCTAACAAATTATCTATGTCAAATGAATATACATATAAAAAAACATTAAGCGTACACGCTTAAAAAAAAATGTAACTTGAAATTGTTTAAAGTTTATCAAACAAAAATATTAAACTTAAGATATTCATGGTACATACTATGTACCCGGTAGATCAAATATACAAAAATTCATTGCAACTTCAAATGTAATGGTGAACATGTCTATTCTATTGACGACACCAATAAAAAGCTTCATCGCTTCAATCCTATAAATCGGTATACATGCAATATAACCACATGCATAAATTGATCATGCATATATACAACTTTCAATCCTATAAATCAGTAGATTACTCAAACTATAATGCCCAAATAAAAAAGTTATTGAAAATGCAATGCTATAATTGTTGTGGTTTTTCACAATATAACGTTCTAATAAGAAAAAAGTTAACTAAAAACAACATAAATGCATAAAAATGTCAAATTACAACGTTCTAATATTAGATAATGAAACTATTTTATCGTATTTCACTTTAACTTGTATATTGTCTGATTATATTATTTAATTGTGGCATATTGGTAAATAAAAATCTTGTACAAATGAAAATCCATTAAGTGTAGGGTTCAACATCCAAATTTGTTAACATATTCAATTTTGAAAAAAATATATTTAGAACAGCTTACTACAGAGAGATCAATTACAACCGATAAATAAGCCCGCTTGATGCAGAGTAAATGCATTTTCTTTGCCCAACTACAAATTTAAAAAACAGAAATTGATGTCAAACTTGTTATGCACACCAAAATCATAAGAGTTAGCTTTGAAAACTTGGTTCATATTATGTCATATAGAGATTAAATTCAGAAAACACCTTGTAAAGAGGCATTATGAAGTGTCTCATATTGGGAGTTCCCTGATTTAACACTCATCTGGCTATTTAGAGCAACAAACTTTCTTTTCCCTCTGTAAGATTTCTTCTTCTTGGATGCTTCTTATCTTGAAAGCTAGATTGAGTGACTTTTGTCTTTTTTACCCTTTCACCACAAGATAATGATGACATATAGGATTCAGGACTTGCCCAATATGTTCCATTCAAGAAATCACACCGTTGTCGGAACAAAACAGTGTCCTTTTGAGAGTTCTTAACATGCCCTTTGCAACCCATATAGCCCTCTCTTGAGAAGAGCTATATCTCATGTTATCAAATTCAAAGATACCCTTCTCCGCTTCTTCATCTGCAAAAAGGTCAAACCAATTGTCTCTGCAAAGTTTGAAGTCAACATCATTTCTAGGTTCGTCACACATAGGTGGAGATCAATCAAGTTTTGAAGATTGATAATTTGATGCAACTGGAGTATCCCAAGGACAATTATTATTCTCTGTAAACAAGTCTCCGTTAGTCAGCGGTGAATCAAATGACTCTTTTGGTAAAAAAGGTGATTCTATACCCAATTTTGAGGTGTTGATGATTCTAGGAGACGACCAAACAGTTGTATTTTTGTCCAGCTATGGTTTAGAACCCTTAATGATATTATCAAACTCTCCATTATCATCCAAGTGAAGCCATTTCTTAAATCCATCATCTTGAAATTTGAATTGGTTATCAAAAGGAAATTGGATAGGGGACGATTCTTTGAGAAGTAATTTGTTGTTTGGATTCCATTTGAAATCATAAAGATGGCTCATGTGTTTGGATTCTGTTGGCATCTCTAATTGAGGTGAGGAAAGGACAATAGAGGTCTCATGGGACCGTGTCACACGCCTCTTCTTTGGAACTCCACCACTATCGTTCAGAGGATCTGATTCACAACATATTTCAAAACAAATTTAATATATGGTACATGCTTATTTTCCTATGTAATTTAGAACTGATTTAAGTGTGTTAAGATACCGGAGCACCCTTAGCCAATCAAGAGATTAATGTGATATTTGCAAATAAGTGACAAATGAGAGATTTACAAATAATGATATTGAAGAAAGGAAAGGAACACAGAAAGAAGTGATATTACCATCTATTCTTGATGAAGTACCAGCTTCATTCCATATATCATCTTCTTTGGACATATGAGCATCTTCAAATATCAAATGTTAATTCAAATATTTGATTAGTAATCGATAACTCAACTGATACAAATAATGATTGAATTAATCAGAAAGTGATATCTTGAGTTTATTAGAAGGCAAACCTTGACTCTAAAAGCATGAAACGACTTTCCTAATGAAGGTAAATAGAGGATCCCAGTCCTAAAACAATGATAAAGATAGTTCGGTGATAATAGAATAGTCCACCTGAGTATACACATCATAAGTCAAAGGTCATGCATAGATATTAGTTTATTACCTTGGATTCAGCACAATCAAAACTTAAACCATAATGAGCTCAAGGACAAGTTAAGTTCAATATGTAGGTCAAGGATGCCTGACACCTGCTCTTCTTTTCACATTCAGATCTAATCCTACACTTCAACAACTCTGATTTTGTAGCCAATTGATTTTGCAACTTATGTATTGGACCTCTTGATATATATCTTGAGTTTATATCTTTTTCAAAGGTCAAAGAGAACATTTTCTTTACCCATAAACTCGTTACAATAAAGCATAAAATCAATACAAGAACACGGATACAGAAATATTGAAAGACCTGCAAAATAAGCAACCTTCAATAAGATGATGAAAACAGAGGAAAAGAGAGAGCTTGAAGTGTTCATACCTTCACAGAGAAAGTTTCACAAGGACCATATATGAATCTAGAGAGTGTTAATTTGTCATCAGACTCATCCAAGTTATGTAAAGAATTGGAAACTTCTGTCCCAAAACTACTAACCAATTCGAGCTTTTCTTTGATCATGAGAATTTTGGTATGCTCATCATTGAAAACCCTACGTACGGATCTGGCTCTTGTCTTCTTCGTCATCTTGAGGAATCGACTGTGGAGTTAAAGGAGTATCACCTCCTCCTCCTTTATCATTGTTTACCTCTTTCGTAATCGTGGTCAGAACGACGCCATTCGACTCCTGCTGAGGATTTATATTTAGGTCTCAAATGCGACTTCGCTGCTGTGCATAAAGTCACTCTGCAACTTTTGTATCTATGATGCTTGAGCTCGTCGGAACAATCCATTGAAGCTAGGGTTATCGCCTCATCAGTGATTCCCCAAACATCCAGTCCTAAAGTCAATAAAGTCATCCTTATCAGGCTATTGAATCGATCGAAAGAAAACGACGAGAATCTACCTTCAAGAATTAGTGATTAAGTTTGAATATTGATTCCTGATTTCTTGCTATGGAATACCTGATTTTTTGCCATCGCATTTGAAATTGATTGCCGATAACTTGGTATATCAATTGAATCCACAATGCATAACTATTAAAGTGCAGAGGGCATTTGGGGAAATTCACTTTGTATTTTGAGCGGGAAAAATCCAATTTGGGGGCTTGGAGAATGCCACGTGGCAAAAATCCTCTTATTTATTAGATTAGGAGATTTATGGCCTAATTACTAATCTAGCCAAATTAAGGGGGTAATTATCAAGTTTTAGCCAAAAATAGCCCACGAAACCGTAGGTTTCGAGATTCGCCTACTGTTTCGCCATTTCGTCTACTGTTTCGCGTTTTGTATAATTTTTTTTTTCATTTTTGACATTCAAAACCGTAAGTTTTTTAAAACCTACGGTTTCCTCTCGAAACCTACGGTTTCCCAAACCGTAGTCTACGGTTTTCGCAAAAAAAGCTACGTTTTTTTGGGGGGTTTTATCTACTATTTTGTCCAAAAAACTACGGTTTTATTTTTTATTTTATATATATATATATATATATATATATATATATATATATATATTGTAATATAGAGTATAAAAAAGAGTGTTTATAATATGTACAATAACTTTAACAATTATTTTGTTTAAATTTTAACAGTAGTCAACTCTGACGAAAAAGTAGACTACTTTTTGGGTAAAGTTGACTACTTTGTTGCTAAATTTGACTACTTTTTTTGTTAAACTTGACTACTTTTTCGTCAGAGTTGACTACTGTTTTCAACCTATCTTATATATATTAAGTATTTTATATTTTTGGAAAGTTTATTCTCTCTAGCTTCTTTATCCTCAAAATTAAGATAATGAGTTTTAACGAGTATTTTGTATTGCTCATTACGGATGGAATATGGGAGTTTGTTAATTCCCAATTATCATATGTTTGGCCACTGGGATACAATCCGAGAATGTTTTATTTAGGTGTTGAATTTTACGAAAACACAACGTTCACCGAATTTGTTCAGTTGGTCAAGTGCAAG